ATCAAACAAACAAGCAGCCAACACGGAGAAAGGGGTGTTTAGATCACGATGGTCCTGCAAAACAGAAAGGAGACGAACACCATGTGAGCAACTGCATGCTGGCTCAAACAAGCATACAATAACACATCCACGCACGCACCCACCCACCCACACAAACGACACAAGCAGCAAGACTTACTGCACGCTTTCATCTGGATCTGTCGACGAGTCCTTGCGAGCACCACCATCACCAGCAAGCGTGAGCGACACAGTGGAGGATTGGCGAGGAGCAACACCACCGTTCGTGTGCATACCACCATCGCCATTGTCATCGCCATCATCATCATCACCATGGTCATCACCTGGAGCAGGCAGGTGTTCCCCGGTGGCACCGCCATCATTGTCATTGTCGTCGTCGTCGTGCTCGTTGTTGTCATCGTCATTGTGATCGGTGTTGGCGGGGGAGGGCGTGTTGCTGCCGCTTGTCTCGTCGTCTTCTTCATACGTCACAAACTCCTGCGAGCTGACGAGCTCATAGTAGTGCTGCTTCTTCGCCATCAGTTCCTTGTGCGACCCCTACGGCAGGCAAGCACAGGAATATAGTGGCGGTGACATGTCGCGTCAGCAGGGATCGGCGAGAGTACCACACGAGCAAACGCAGTACAACAGCAGCAGCAACCCCATAAATTGTTCTTGACACACGCACACACACACACACACACACATGACACACACACACACATGACACACACACACATGACACACCTTTTCGACGACCCTGCCGTCTTTGATGACAGCAATCTCGTCTGCGTTCTTGATGGTGGACAGCCGATGCGCAACAATAAACGTCGTGCGGCCCTTGCGCGCCCTGTGCCGCCAACACCAGAACAGTAGTGGTGTATCTCGTAAGCAAAAAAATGAAACCTCTCATCGATGCACGACGCGTGGTACATCGTGATTGCCACTTCTCCAAACACACACACACACACCCTCAACACACACCCAACAAACACTAAACAAAACACACCTGTCCAAGGCCTCGTGCACGAGCTTTTCGCTCTTGGTGTCCAGGGCAGCGGAAGCTTCGTCCAGCAGCAAAATCTTGATGTCGTCTGCGCGGATCAGAGCACGTGCAACAGCAATGCGCTGGCGCTGTTTGTTGTTGTTGTTGTTGTTGTTGTTGTTGTTGTTTAAGTTGATGTTGGCAGTGGCGTGAGATGAGGTGGGGTGGTTGGGATTTGGTGATCACATGCAAGCCAACACCGCCCACAAACAGGACCAAGGCCGAGCGAGCATCGCACACTGCTGCAATGCCCCTACAGTCCACAGAACCAACCTGGCCACCGGAGAGCTGCGCGCCCTTCTCGCCAACGAGCGTGTCAAACTTGTCCTGAAACTCCTGGATGAAATCATAGGCATTGGCCTTTCGCGCCGCATCCTCAATGCGCCTGACGAATGAAACAGGAAGGCAGTGCAACACACGCACATCAGTCTCTGCGCCCAAATAAAACGTGTCATGCAAGCAGCCGCTCCCCACCCAGTGTTGTGCTTCTTCTCTCATCATGCATGTACATTCGTCTTCACCATCAGCAGTTGCAGCGACTCACTCCATGGGCACGTCTTCGGGGATGCCGTATGCAATGTTCTCCTTGATGGAAGACGCAAACAGCTCAGGCTGCAAGACGTCACAACACAACGAGTCAATGTGTCTTGTCAGGTTGCTGCAGTTCAATTTCTGACACGACCTGTCCCCGCACAACGCAAATAGATACACACACACACGCACACACACACACACGCACACACACATGTTCACGCACACGCACACGCACGCACACACACGCACGCACACACACACACACAGAGTCACACAATACCTGCTGGGTGACGAGGGCAATGTGTTTCCTGAGGTGGCCCGGGTCAATCTTCTCCGCGTCCACGCCGTCCACCAGGATCTTGCCGCCAACGGGCGAGTAGAACCGCTCAATCAGCGAAATCATCGTACTCTTGCCACACCCGCTCTGGCCGACCAGGGCAATCGTCTTGCCGGGCTCCACCGACAGGTTCAGCTTGGACAGCACCTGCGCATCGGGGCGCGTCGGGTACACAAAGTCGACGTCCTTGAACTCAACGCGACCCGTAATCTGGGGCCGCACATACGTCTTCTCCGCCTCGGCATCTTGCTCCTCCTTGTGCATCTGAATCATGGCGTAGAGGCGGCTGGCAGCCTGCTTTGCCTTGACAGCGTCCGGCGCAAGCGACCCAGCCTGTCCAGCGATGATGCCCATAAACACAATGGACATCTGTGCTGTGAACATCTCGTTGAACCCGCAGAAGCCGTCGTCAACAACCTCGCTGCCGTACCAGAAGGCGAGCGCCCACACGGCAAACACGCAAAATTCAGAGAAGGCAAAGGTGAGGCCCTGGATCTGCGCTGTCTTCTTCATCACAGAGCTCGGGTACTCCAGCGTGGCATAGTAATCCTGAACAAAGCTGTCAAGGCGGCCTGTTGCACAAAGGGAACCAGATGACAACACGATACCAGCATCATGATGAGGGTTCAACACATGGTGGTGGGATGGAATGGACACCCTCATGCACCTGCGTACACCCACACGCACACCCACATACATCTGCGTACACCCACACAC